TTTGTCTTAAAAGTACAGAGTTCGTCTCCTGAATCCAAATTGGGAGTTAGTTCCCACATAAAAGGTGCCTAAAAGGCTCTGACTCCCATTCTACTTTTAAATATTCTGGGAACAAAGGTAAGCCTGATTAGAAGGATTTTAATTTTGATAGGGAGCCAATAAGGAGAAGCCAGTACAAGAAAGAGATGCTCTCTAGTCCCTGTTGTGCTCTTGCTGCAGCTTTTATGATCAACTGAAGGCTTTACAGGAAGTTTTTAGTACCGCCAGATAATAATGACCTACAGTAGTCCAGCCTAGAATTAATAAATGCATAGACTAGTTTTTTAGCATCACTCTGAGACAGGATATTTCTAATTGTAGAGCTACTACTGCAAGAAAGCACTCCTACATTTTTGTTTAACATACACATTGAAGTACATATGGTGGTGAAAAATTCCAAGATTCCTCACAGGAAGCCATAGGAATGCCATTTAGAGAAAGTATACAATAATAACTAATAATTCAAAAACATAGACGGATAGAGTTACATAACCTCCACATATTATTTGATATAGTCTACTACTTATTGGCGGTGAAAGCCCTTTTCAAGGCCATATAACAGTGTCTGTCACACATGAATTGTTATAAAAGGATCTGTGGCTGAACTCAGACTACAGACTGAAACCTGAAATAAATGAAGCTGATCTGTCATTTAAGGTCATCTTCTGAATCTCTTTCAGTGTGTCTAAATGGCAATCATTAAAAAACATTTTTGTTTTTGTGAAAAAAAAGCATCCAAAGTGAGGCATATTGGATGCTCTGGGTTAAAATTTTGGGTCTGAGATGAAATTTCAGATGACACAACCAAAGAGTGAGAACTGGAATTCCAGGTAGAGAAAACTAGCATTGCACTGGAAGCTGTCTAGAAATTCCAGAGTAGATGACTATGAACGAGAGATTCAGGCAAGGTTTTAAAATTTTAGATGTCTGATCATGGATCCAAGTACAATCAATGATCAAACATCTGAACACTACTGAACACTCAGTACTTCAGATGGAGGAGCTCCTACTTGTAAACTGTAGTGTCTTGGACGCAGTGGGCAGCAGTCAGCAGCCAGCGGTCACTCAGCACAGAGGCTCCACACACGTGTCCTAGCCCCTTGAAGTGGAGGCTCACCTGCCAGGGCCACTCACCCACACTAGCTGCCTGACCTCCCACGATACGACTGCTACTGTACAGATTCGTCCCGCAATCTGAAAGCAAACACAGATCTTAACGCCCAAGTAACTAGAAAAGTCCCACTGCAACCATCTGTGGGTGAGTGTGTGGTAAACGTACCACAGTTAGCCTCGTCAGAGCCGTCCTCACAGTCCTGCTCTCCATCACACTCTGGGTTCAGTTTACTGATGCAGAGTCCATTACTGCAGTGGAAGGTGAACGCTGAGCACACCACTGAAGCTAAATGA